CCAAATATGTCTCTCCCAGCTGCTCATGTTTAAGTCATGATTTCAGCATTTCCTTTACCTCTATTATATTGGTTAAAAAGCTTAGTTACAGTTACTGTACTGAAGCCACTGAAATGGAAGTGTAGCAAATCTAAACTTCAAATGAACATTAAACCAGCAGTGAAAATGGACATCAGGACAATAATATTAATATGTGAGAAAACAGATACAACACACAGCTAATTGCATTTTCAAAAGCACCTTTTTATTTTACAGCAGTAAACTAATTAATAGTTTAAATGCCCCAGAATGTTGAGTGGCATTATAAAGCCATAAGAACCAACTGCAGAATCAACAGAGCCCATTGTGAAGTAGGGATGTGAACAGGTAACCACTAAGTATCACCATTACCAGGTGATGCTTACCGGGTACTGACCAGTTAACCAGTAGCCAAGTGTAGCCCCCCATGGACAGAGGGCTGAGCTAGCCCGGGAGGGTCCAGTAGCAGCAGCCCACAGCCCTGCATGGAGTTGAAAGGGTGAAGCAGGAGCTGGCTGCCCCGTATGCAGTGGGGGGGACCCTGCAGCACGGGATCCTGCTTAATCAGCTAACTAATTAACCAGGATTTTACATCCCTACTGAGAAGAGCAATAATTGTTCTGAAATGCACTGCTGGGGTGTGTCTTATTCTTATGAAACTGGATTTACATAAAGAGGAACTCAACTCTATATTAACAGAATAGGATGGTTAAAGGGAAAGCCACTGGAGGATGGACTCCACTCAAGGCTGTGCTGCTCACTATTGTGGGAGGTTGGTGGTGGAATGTCAGTGCAATTCTGGCTATATTCCTGGGTAAAGGCTGACTGCCATATCAAGGCATTGTGAATCAGGCATGAAACACCACCACTCTAGGAAGACCCGGTTCCTCCCTCTATCAGAAAAGTGCAGGTAGAGCACAATTTACTTTGTAACAAACCCAATTGTTGTACATACTCAACAAATTTTCAGAGTTCAGCAGACACTTTTCCATGCAAACTGGTTTTAAAATTCTGTATACAACGTCTAAAAGAAAAGGTTGTCCGTGGGGCTTAGTTTTTTTTTCCCTTTCGACAATGCTGGAGTCTAATTTTTAGGGGGATACTACACTTATCAGTACATACAGATAGATAGTATAGTCCTTACCCCAACTTTGAAAATCCCAGTGAAGTTCTAGATAGAAGTCACCTAACTGAAAAAAATACGAATATATCATTGATGAATGCATCACTAGCTATATTTACAGTTGTTAAACATTTCCACTAAGACATGCAAAACACAAATTTCATCTTGGGAAAATAAAACTAAAATTAAAACAGGTATAACTAAGTTCAGCCCATCAATAGCTTTTATTTCTGAATTTCTTTTATTTTCAATCATTCAAGCCCTTTTTGGACTGTGGACTAGGCATAAACAGTTTGTTGTAAATATCCAATATTAAAAATTCAGGCTGCATTGGCTACTTTAATTGAACACACAGCTCAAGTAGTACTACTTGTTCCATAATTACAGAAGTATAACTCAGTTTCTGGTGCACACATTAATGTTTACAAGTTCAAAATTGGACTTTCTGCAAACGTTTGCATTAGAATATTTCCAGGAAGCAATAAAAAGAAGTACTTTTTCCAAACACTTTTTTATGATTAAATATAATAAATTGAGGTATTATAAAAACGGTCATGTGTCTATGCAAAAGAGGAATACAACAGCTATTTTACTGAGCCTGTATTTGTGCCCAATACTGATCAAACCACCTCCAGGGAATAGACTTCTATTCTTCAGGTGAAAAAAGCAAGCAGAAATTCCTTCCTGAATAAATGAATGATTTATAAGATTTAAGGTCCAGAAAATCCCATTTATAAAAGTATCAGAGGGGTAGCCTGCATCTGACGAAGTAGGTCTTCACCCATGAAACCTTAAGCTCAAATAAATCTGTTAGTCTATAAAGGTGCCACAGGACTCCTCATTGCTTTTGCATCTATAAAAGTGTAATTTATATACAATTATAGCATAATGATCTTCTGACAGTGTAAACTGTCACATGGGAGGAGGGAAAAACTAAGCAGCTGATGCCAATTAGCCGACCTCTCAGAGTTTGCTGAGTGTGTCTAGAGACTATATAAGCCAAATTTAGACCATTCCACAGACAGAAGAAGAGGAAGCAGTCAAAACTTGAAGACTGAAGAACTGTCAATGGAGAGAGCAGGAAGATCAGTTCCAGAAAGAGGCAGGAGGAGAGGGCACAAAGGTAAGAAGTTTGTGGGAAACTCTGTACAGGATGGGGCCTGTCTTCCTAGAAAACTCTGGACTATCCTGAGATGTAAGAGAACATCTGGGGAAATAGGACTAAAGATTTTGGCTGTTGATGATAAACTAAACACCAATATGTGTCTTGTTTAAGTACTCATACATTCTCTCTCTTTCTGTCTGTTCTTCTTTCCCTCCCCCAACCCCCGCACTGATCCCTTTCCTTTCTGTGATGGTCAGATCACCTGCACCACCAGACAATGGTAATATCTAGAGTTATGGAGTTTAGATTTAGCTGGACGTACAAGATAGGGACTGTAGGTTTGTTCTTAAGTTGAATTTGTATGTAAGTCGGAACTGGTACATATTGTAGGGGAAACTCTAGCCAAACATTTCTCCAGAGCTCAGTTTTATTCTCCCACACCTCACTTCCCTCAGTCCTTTATTCTCAAGCTGAGGTGTCTGCTGAGAAAAGCCGCTCCGCGTCTCCCTAGGCTGCTGGGGGGAAGCAGCTAGTGCGGGGTTGCCTTACATTGGATCCCTACTTACAAACGGGGCAAGTCGGATCCATGTAACCCGGGGACTGCCTGTAACCGTAGTGACTGTCTGCCAACCTTGCTGGGGCTGGTGAGAACCCATTGGTGCACAGATCTGTTTTACAAATACATACTTTAAATGGATGTGGACTCAAGCCTCTATTTTCCACGTTCTTCCACATTTTACCGTTCACCCGAAAGAAGTTGCAAGCACTAGTGATATTTTATAGCAGCTAGTGGTCTCACAAGAGAACAGGCAGCAACAATTTGAAACTGTACAGAATCTTTTACGTTTCATACTACTGCTTTGAGGAACATATCGTGCACATGGAAAATTCAGCTGTTGCATCTAGAGGCACATTTATTTAAATGAAACACTAAGCTAAAAACTTTCACTGCTCTGACAAAGGGGGAAGGAAGAGAAAGATTCAATGTTACATCTAGTAAGATGGATATCTGAAATATATTAGAAACAAAATATATTTTGTGGAAGGGATAGGGTTATTCCTAAAAAGAGAAGCTTAAAGACCTAATCCAATACAAAGTAAATATGCCTGTAACTATTCTGCAGTAGATGGAGAATTCCTCCTTCCATAAACTGTGCCTTCTATAACCATTTCTAACTGTTGCTCTGGTGCACATGGTGCCTCCTCCTCACAGGCACTCTCTGCTTCTGCAGAGCACCTGGGGATAACTAGGCATAGAGCTTGAGCTATCGTCTTATCCCTAAAGATGGGTCCTCTAAAACATGAAGCTATGAAATGGAAGCAATAAATGATAGGAGGGGGACACACTATTTTGCAGTATGCATAACCCCCTCTCGCTCCAGATACATATACTCTTCTGACCTATTTGCAATCACATCAGTTGCTTACATAGGAAAGTATTAGCCCTGGCTATATCGTAATACTATGGAACAGTTGGAAACAACCAATATGACTAGTCACTTCACCATGAGTGGTAGTGAACAACAGTTTGGGAACCAGCACTCTAGTGACTAAACAAACAATGAAAATGTCTCATACTGAATGGCTACGTCTAGACTGACTCCTTCTTCGGAAGAGGCATGCTAATTTCTAACTTTGGAATAGGGAACTCCGCGGGGGATTTAAATATCCCCTGCGGGATTTAAATAAACAGGGTCCAGACTGGCAAGTAGGAATAAGAGATCCTCTGGAATAGGGCTTTATTCCGGAGGATCGCGCCAGTCTGGACGCTCTTTTCCGGCTTTTCCCCAAGCCGGAAAAAAAGCGGTGGCCATGTTTATTTAAATCCCGCGGGGGATATTTAAATCCCCCGCGGATTTCCCTATTACAAAGTTAGAAATTAGCATGCCTCTTCCGAAGAAGGGGCCAGTCTAGACGTAGCCAATCTGAGAATAACTTGTGTGTATAAACCAGTAATGGGTCACATGCGGCATACTGAAGCTCAACCTACAGCCTGTGGACCCCCTGGCTACCCGTTCCTTCCCATGGTTTACACTCACGCTGCCTCCCTTCTCCTGCATGCCCCACACTTACCTGCTTTTTCCCTTCCATTCCAGAGCAGGAATACCACAAATCAGATGTTTGCAGTGTTCCAATTTTGGGAGAGAGGAGGGAGGAACAGGGACTGGGCACTCCAAAAGTGTTAGAAGGAAGGAAGAAGAGCAAGTAAATGCGGGACTCTCGTGTCCCAGTTAACAAGAGGCACATGGAGGAGAAGGTTAGCTAAGAGAGCCACAGATGGAACCCCTCTTCCAGGAGGAGTGAAGGAGGGCCACTCTTGCGGCCCATTCCAGGTGTAAACTATCACATTCCAGAGATTCATTATGACTCAACCTGCCAAATCAAAAGTAATGTCAATTCCTGTAACAGTAGGAAATGAAAAATGTAATTTTCAAGTACACCAGCATTTTAGCACATATAGTTTAATTAAAGAATCTCTGAAAATTCAATAGTGATACATGTTACCTTTCCACAGTACTTTTTGCTTTAGGAATGTATTGTCTCCACACGTCCCCACTCAGAGATCATCTGCCCCACCATGTGGTGACCATTAACTCTTTCAAGATACAGAAAATATACTTCCCCAAAGGGCTATCTGGTTTGAAATTAGCTCTGCTAGGGAGTGGCAGGGCACATGATCTCATTCTGGCTCAGTGTGACGCTCATAAAAGAATAATTGTCATTTATCAACAGTTTCCTTAAGCTTACCTCTTTCAGGGCTTTTAATAATCGAGGTCGCTTTTCTTCAACACTTTCCCTGGACTGCTGCTTCAGCTTCCTTAGGAGTGCTGTAACTAAATAGAAGTGAACTGTAAATCAAATATTTTGCTCAGGTTGTGAACACCTCTGCGCAGAGATTCATCTTCCAAAGCTTTTCAAATACAGAAATGTAAGAAAGTGTCTGTTTCATCAGACATTTAAAATGTGTAATTATATATAACTATACTAGAATCACAACAGTAAGAAAGCTTCAGTAACTCTGTTTTGCAACATAACCAGCACATGTAAGTTCATGGCAACATTTCTTGCTGCACTGCACTTTGGCTTGCACATTGCTGGAAATGTGTCAGCGGAAGATGTTACTTCCATGGGAGAGAATCTCTCACCACAGAGGAATGCCCTGTGTTTAAAATGCTGGTAGTATATAAGATGAGCAGCAAAACATTAAGTTGTATACTGTGAGAAGTGGTAAAAAAAAAAAACCATAAATAATGAAGTACATAATTGCCATCCATTAATACGTGGTAGTGGGCTAATTTTGACCATTACTGCTTCACTTGGGAAAAGAATGGATAAGTAACTCATTCAACACAGCTTGTGACCAAAGACAAAAGTAATATCCCACTGATAGTGGTTATGTGTTATCTGCACACAAACTCCCTCTCATTAATCACAAGTAGAAACGTCATTTGACATACTTAACACATAGCTGGTTGATTAAATTTTAAGAGGCATTAAGCTGTCCCAATGAGTGAAGAAACAACCAGATATGAGTGAATCACACTGCTACCTTGGTTTATGATTTTATTCTTGTTTAGAGAAAGTCAGTTTGTTGTTTTCATAGTCACTGAAAAACAAGGTCTTAAACATATTTAATTTTGGTCTTTGCTTTAACCCAGTGGTTCCCAGACTTTCGCATTGGTAACTCCTTTCATAAATATGCCTCTGAGTGTAATCCTCTCCCCTCCCCACCCTAGATAAAAAAATATGTTTGAATTTATTTTAAACTATTATAAATGCTGGAAGCAAATTGAGGTTTGGGAATGAAGGCTGTCTGCTCACAACTCCCCTATGTAATTACCTTGCAACCTCCTGACAGGACAACTCCCAGTTTGAGAGCCACTACTTTAGCTTACTCTGGTGCTATGAGGACTAGAGAAACTGTGGTCAAGTCTCCACTTGTGGGATGATTGACACTGTGCAGTCAATCATTCAGCATTCAATTTAGTGGTTCTAATAAAGACCTGACTAAATCGAATGCTGAGGGTGCCTATGGCGGCATTGGTATGCATACTCACGAGGAGTGAGGGACGTCAACACAAGAAATGCTCCCGTTGACTTCCACTGTGAGGACAGTGCCAAAACTCAGCTTAAGGTACGTCAACTCCAGCTACATTTACACATCTAGAATTGTGTACCTTAAGCCAACCTTCCCCTGTAGTATGGATTTGGCCTTAGTTTAGCAGAGATATTATTTAACAGTTAACTAACATTTTTAAAGACCTCAGTATCCAGGATAGGCAAAGGCAGTAGCATTTTAAATAAATGTTAACTAGACGCAGTCAACCTTAGATGGGACCTAAACAACCAACACACACTGTCTTTGTCTCCATAAAGTGACAAGTAATCAAACATGTCAGCTAAGCAGACCTCATTTCCTACTCTAAGACAGACTTCTGTTTACATCACCCAAGTAATCAGCAAAGGTTTCTTACTCATTTGTCTGTCCCCATAACTGATTGCTTCTGCAAGAGGACTCCATCCCTGAGCATTTTTCACCTTTACTGGAGCATTGTGGGCCAAAAGCAAGTGTGCGCATTCTGTAATAGAAAAAATGGTAATATTTATTTAGAGCAAACACCACAGTTTCCTTTCTTTAACTATTCTGTAAAAGTATCATTGAAATATCCCTTATTCCTCTTCCCTTTAGCTGTCAAATTTTTATAGTGGAAAAAAAACATGTGATAGTCTTTTAGATGATAATAAGTGTCCTTTCTGGAGAAAAAAGTTGATGGGTTGGAACTGTTGCTATTAAAGTCTGATCCAGACTTTCTCACTCAAACTTTTAGTGAGAGAAAAAAAACCCAGCAAGGGCAGAAAAATGTAGCTTCTGTTTCTGGTACTGATTTACTTGCAACCTCACTGCTAGAGAAACAAGGGTACAACACCAGTCTTATCAGCTACTCTGAGACCTCGTAAACTTGTATCAGTGTCAGACTGGGTATTTAATACTTTGCCATTAGCTGCTTCCCTGGTCATAGAGTCACAGCGGAGTTTTAAGACAGACTGGGCCACCTAACACTTTTATTAAACAGAAGGCACAAAATAGAAGAGAAGTAGTGGGAAAGAAAAATGACATGAAGATGGCGGTGTGTGACAGCAGGAACCAAATCTTATATTCCAGGTGGCATTCAGAATGTAGGCAAAACCACTGGAGCAAATGTCATGAGTCTCTCTCTTTCCGGCCAAATCTGAATGGATCAGCCTAATTCTGAGATGATGGAAACCAAATGGTTTCACAGAGTCTAATGAAGTTCCAGGAGATACTGAAGCTGGTAGCCACAATTGGAATAGATTAGGGAAGTTCAATATTGTTTAATTGAATAGTCGGTTAACCTCATGAATTCTTATTGCTTACTTAACTATTCTATAGTCCCCAGGGATGAGGTCGGGAGCCAGTACGCTCTGGCCTCGCTCCTGAGGAGCCCCCTGCCACTCTATGCTGCTGCCTCTGATACAGCCCCTCCTACACTTTTTCCTTAGGCCAGAATCCTCTCCTGCACCCACACTGCCCCTTGCACTCCAATCCCCTAACCCAGGTCACAACCACCCCCTTCATCTAAACTCCCTCTCAGACACCATTAGTTCCTTACCCGTGCCCCCTTCTGCACCCAGCCTTCATCCTAGACTCTGCATCTCTTCCACAGAAAAGTGTGGCCCTTGACCACTTTCCAAAATTGCATAGTGCCCCCCCCCCCAAATGATTGCCCACCCCGATCTAGAAACAGGCAAGTGAACACCCATTTATCCCACTGAGATTATCGTACTATATAGTGTATGCTATTTCTGGGGAAAACTTTAATAAAAAGCTTCTCTTAGAAGTGTGGAACTACCTCTCACACTAAAACCTTAAGATGTTCGTATCAATACTTAACATACACGTATAATGGAATTTTAAGGCAACAGCGACTAGAACTGTCGTATACAAACAGTGCTGAAGCAATAGCCACATTCAAGAACTAGCGACACTCAACCAGCCAAATACAGGCAGTCGCCGAGTTACACGGATCCGACTTATGTCGGATCCGTACTTACAAACGGGGCTCTTCTCGCCCCGGAGGACGCGGGCATCAGGAC